CACACACACACACACACACACACACACACACACACACACACACACACCCACACACACACATACACACACACACACAGAGCGTTTAATATTTTACAGAGATGGAAAGATATCGTCTTTTCAGACAAAAACTATATATTAAAATGTACCCCAGTGAAGATTCACCTTCGAGTAATTGACATAAATGGTTCCACCTTTAATTATGGACAGTTTTAAATGGTAATACAAGCCAACATTAACTATGGGATTTAACAGAATGTCTTGAAGGAGTCATGATGAGAGCTGGAATTATCTCACAGCAAGTGCCCTACAGGTTTAAGATGGAGACTTAATGTTAAATTAAAGAAATACAGATTAAAATTGGTAATTTTATGTTTTCAAAAGAGAAATTTTCACTTCACCGGTGCCTGTCCTTTAAAAAATTACTGGTTAAACAAAGATTATCTTTGAAGATTATTTAAATGATGTGACTTGTATATCTTGAACAACATTAACCCTTCACAGGTCTTTGGAGTGGTGCTGAACTAAAATAACTACTGTGAATGCTTTTTAGAACTGTTAACTATAAAGTGCTGCAGCAGGGATGGATGGTTGTATACCCCCCCCCCCCCCCCACACCACCACCACCACCCCCACCCCCACCCCACCCCATGTTTTCTCTCTACAGGAGATACCAGAAGGAGAATTGAGAACCTAAACTGGGCAGATGGAACAACCATTGAGGTATCAGAGTGTTATGGATGACTGAATGCAAGTAAATATTGATCATCAGGAAAGACACAATTCCTGATTTTATGTAAAGACTGTTGATTTTTCTATAATGTAGATAAGCTAAATTTTAGAGGTTGTTTTGGATGATAAATTAGGCTGGAATATTGTATATAATATAAGGAGCAAAAACTTTGCTAGATATTTGACTTTTATATAACTTAAAATTACAGGGAGATTTAATCAAATCTATAGATGTGTTTTCATCTCAGGTAAGATTTTTACAAGTGCTAACAGAGATGGGATACACTATTTTTACTTATTTTTCATCCATACATCCATCCATCCATTTTCTTCCGCTTATTCGGGGTCGGGTCGCGGGGGTAGCAGCCTAAGTAGGGAGGCCCAGACTTCCCTCTCCCCAGCCAATTGGGCCAGCTCTTCCGGGGGAATCTCAAATTAAATACTGACAAAACTGACATACTTGTCATTGGTCCAAACAGTGTTACCAAGTCCACTCAAAACTTCTGCCTCAACTTTGACAACATCACTCTCACTCCATCACCACTCATTCGTTATCTTGGTATTCTTCGACTCTACTCTCATTCAAATGACATGTCAAACAGATAACTCGGACTGCATTCTTCCATCTCAAAAACATAAATATGCACGACTCCGCCCATCACTCACTTTCTCCACTGCTGAAATCCTAATCCATGCCTTTGTCACATCCAGAATCGACTATTGCAATAGCATCTTGTACGGTACACCATCCAAAACTCTCAAACTGCAATATCTTCAAAACTCTGCTGCCCGCCTTCTCACCCACACCCGCTCCCGTGAACATATCACTCCTGTCCTGCAGAAACTCCATTGGCTCCATGTCACTCAGCGCATCCATTTCAAGATCCTCCTTACCACATTCAAAAACCTCCATAATCTGGTCCCTCCATACCTGATGACCTACTCCATCACTACACTCCTTCTCGTTTCCTCCGCTCCTTCGATGCCAACCTTCTGCCTCACCCAAGTAGGACCAAGCTACGAACCTGGGGAGACAGAGCCTTCTCTATCGCTGCCCCCACCCTCTGAAACTCACTGCCCCAACAGCTTTGTGCCTGCTTCAATCTCTCTACTTTTAAATAACTCAAAACCCACCTGTTTAAAATTGCTTTTAATGTTTAAGTTTGCCCTTTTTAAATGTTTTACTGTGTTTTTATGTGTTAAGCATTGTTTTTTTTTTTTACTCGTGTAAAGTATCTTTGAGTATTTAGAAAAGTGCTATACAAGTAAAATGTATTATTATTACAGAGAAGGTCAGAAAGAAATCCATTGTGTCTTTTGCCCCTTTTCCACTACCCCTAATAAGCCCCAACTCTGCTCAGCCCTGCACACCCCTACTCAGCCTAGCTCAGTTCAGCCTGGATTTGCACCTGCACTTTAGGACCGATTCTGGAGGCGTGTCCAGAATCCAAGTCCTGCTAATGAGAGTTCTGCGATGAGTTACTCAAAGCAGTCTGTTCCTCAGACAAATATTAAATTTTTTATATATGAATGTTTCTGTTAACTTATTTTATATACAAATATTTCTGTTCAGTGCCCTGAGACAACTTCTGTTGTGACTTGGCACTAAATAAACTGAACTGAATTAAATCTGATGAACCAGATTCTACAAAAACATTTATATTTAAATCTGAAAAAGTTAAGTCTGGTCCTCTGGACATTCAAAAAAAAAATTAATAATAAAAATGTAGAAACGTTCCTTCTTTCATCCGAAAGACTTCTTCAGTCTGATGTGATGTATTCAGCTCAGTCTTACAGCTATGAGCTGAATCCAGCACCTCAGACTGAAGAAGTCTTTCGGATGAAAGAACAAACGTTTCTACATTTTTGTTTGTTTGTTTTGTTTTTTTGAATGTCCAGAGGACCAGACTTAATTTTATATTTTTCTACCTTGCATCTGGACATCTATATTTAAAATTCTATACTTTTCTTCATCATTTGATGCATTTGCACAAATTGTGGTTTTGTTTCTTGTATACAGGTTACTTTTTCTTGTATACAGATTATTTTTAGCTTTGAATTAAAGTTTAGCTTTGATTTAAAGCTTTAACTTAAAGTGTAATGCTTGTTTTGAGATTTGTTCAACTGTGGGTTAGAATAATGTTGAACCAAAGGCTGTGTCTCTTCTTTAAACATGTTGGAGGGCAATATTCCTGAGAGATCCAATAATTGTGTCTTTTTATGATTTTTCAGTTGAATTAACAGGTTAACAGATTATTTAATAAAGTCAAATGGAAAACAGAATTTCACGATAAAGCCGGCACCGTTTATTTATTTTTAATCTTCACTGAAACTTATTTTAATACATAAAATGTTTAAAAAACAAACGTTTCCACCCTCCGTCCCTCCTCCATCCCGGTCCTCCAGCCTGCCAGGGCTCGAATCTGGCCTTTGTGTGCGGGCGAGGCCTCGCGGGCTTCAACGGCTCAGCAGCTCGTATGTCAATTCAGTCAGTTCAAAAAAACGTTCAATACAAATCAGTCAAGGAAACACACAACTCACAATCAGTTTTGTTGTGTTTTTCCTTGACTGATGAAGCCTTCCGGATCGAAGACGAAACGTTTCAGCATAAAAAAAAAAGAAACTGTCCAGATGACCTGACTGAAAAATGTTGGATTTTATACCTGGATTATTGATCATGGACTTTATTGTTTTCAACCAGTTTGACAAGACTGTCAACAAGGAAGAGGGCCAGCAATGGAGGAGGGGCGTACCAAAGAGACCATCTAATCACAAGCAGAACTAGTTTGTTCCACTTTGGAGTAAGCTGTTGGGGGAAGAATCAGTTTTGTTGTGTGTTTCCTTGACTGATGAAGCCTTCCTGATCGAAGGCGAAACGTTTCAGCACAAAAAAACAAAAAAAGAAACTGTCCAGATGACATGACTGAAAAATGTTGGATTTTATACCTGGATTATTGAGCATGGACTTTATTGTTATTCATCAACATATATTCTCATGTCTCTGTACTCAACATTTTGACTCCTGTTTTGATTTATTTAGTTCCCAAAATCTTATATGAATTAAATAAATTTATTTAAAAAATTTATTTTAATAAACATAATTAAAAACCATTTTATAATGCAGTATAGAGAAAATATTGTTTTATTTTGGTTCTGAGATTATATGCTGATGATTATGTTTAAAGTGCACTTATGAATGCGTCAATATGTAACCACAATTACTTTATATTTGCATTGCAGTCCTCTGAATTGTTATCAAATCAAATTATGAAATACCTAATGATTTCCCCAAGTAGTTAATATATAATGGAAAACACTGTGAATGGGTACATGAGAAATAGTACAGTGCTCCACATGACCTGCTTTTGCACAAAATATGCTTTATAAATCATTTATGCTCTCACTAAAAAGTGTCCTCACCTGATTTTGGGTATGTGACCTCAAACACATCTGTGTCTCTGATGTCCAGGTGGTAAATCTGATCCACATCAGCAGGATCATGAATCCCATTTATCAGATTGAAGCCTTTATGTGCCACCAGTACTGGATTTTCAAGATTGAGTTTCTTTAAATCCATGGGAGCTAAAACAGAAGTAAAGCAAAACAATAAAACAAAGTACTTGCACAGAGGTGCTCCTTTGAAAAGAGAAACAGAAGGTACCAAAAACCAAAAATATGCAAATTCAAAGGAGCAGAAATGGGTACTAGAAAAATTGCATGCAGTGATCTTTGTAGGAAACAACATTTAGTCGGAAGAAAGATGAGTTCACCTGCAAAACTTCAGAGTTCTGGAAACTTTGTTGCAATAGTCTTAATATTCCCTCTGAGTCCAGTTTGTTAGTTTCATCCAGAAGCTCACTCCAAGTCTTGTTTGTTGGTTTCATGTCACATTTCTCATCACATATTTAATAAAGCCACTGATCATGGGAGGGAGTGGACTGTGAGCAGCCAGAAAGAGCACACCCTCCTTTCAGTGTGAATAAATGACTTAGACTGATCAACAAAGCAGACAGTACATACCGTACCATCTCATTAAATTGGATCAGAAACATCTCAGAATGATGATGTGCTAGTGTACTTCTTTGAGGTTCATCACAAACTGTAAACCACTGACATGCATGTGTAGCTGTTTTCTCAGGTGGGGTGGCCTGCTTTGGTCATTCGAAGAAACATTGGTATCCTTTTATATTTAAGGCACTACTCTGTCTGCTGCCATGGTACATTTGCACCCAGATCACAGACAGAAGTATTGGTCCTCATTCTCTCTGCACACAGGATTATTAGTTGCTTTTTTTATCCATTTGTTGGCATGGAGTTGGGTAAAATATATTTTGTACATGACAAGAATCAGGTTTAGGATTCGAAAACTCAACCGGACAACAAGAAAGGTTAAATAGTTTATTGGTTTGCAGCTGCTGGTGAGAGTCTGTGTCCAGATGCGGGAACAAATCTTCTCAGGCAGGTAAGATGGTTTACCTGTCTGAGTTTGGATGGATGACGTCACCGGAGCTGGTAGAGACACAGCATGTAACGAACCCCCCCTTAAAAAGGGGCTGGAGTAAACTCACCACAACAAATAAGCAAGTTAAACCAAGTTTATTGCGAGGACCCGCTTTAGAGGAATTGGGCCGAAACTGGTTCTGGTGTCGAGTTCTGGGCGTCTGGGCTGGAACGAGTCTGTTGACAGGAAGAGAATGGTCAGTGGTCAAGCTGGTGACAGGGGCTAGTGTAACAGTCAAAGAGAAGTGACCACTAACCGTCTCGTTAGTTGAAGGAGGGTCCATAGACTGATGTTGTTCCAGCAGAACTGAGCAGCTGCAGGAGAGGCTGGTTCCGGTGAGGGAAGGCAGCCGGCTGCAGCAGTGAGCCAGTGTTTGGAGTCCGTGAGACGAAGAGGCTTGTCCAACAGGCAGGAGTCCAAAAACCAGGCAGCAGATGACCAACGGTACCAATCCGTGAGGCGCAGAGGGAAGTACAGCAGGTGAGAGTCCAAAACCGGGAAGCAGATGGGCGACAAGACCAACAGGTAAGGCGAGAGGATGTTGTCATACAGGTGGGGGTCGTTACCGTTTTCAGTGAGGCATCAGTCCAGGGGGTCAAGCAGGAGGCAAAGTCAGGCGGGCGATGAGTCAGGAAGCCGGGAGAGTGAACCATAAAGGTAAGGATACAAACCAGGGAACGGGACAGGAGCAAGGAGGACAGGTAAGTGACTAAACTGGGTAAATACTATGATAAACTATGAAATACAGGTACAAGTGATCAAGAGCGCGGGATAACTACTGGCAGTAAACTGTTTTCGACTATCTGGCAATCACCCTGTGTGAGAGTCTGACTTATAAAGGGTGCAGAGACAGGTGCCGCTAATTGAAAGGTGAAGACAAACCAGTTTGATCAGTGAAGACAACATTAAACCCACATTCAGCCAAGACAACCTAAAACACACACATGCAGACAAAGGATAATAAAAGGATCCAGAGACACCAAGCAGTGCACAGAGTGATAGAAAATCTAACCTAACAGGCGTGAATCGTGCCATATACCCACCTCAAGGGACGTCTCCTGGAATCCCACCCAGTCCGGATGGAGTCTATGAAACTCCCTAATGAGGGACTTGGCCAGGACATGGCAGGAGGGGACCCAGGAACGCTCCTCTGGACCGTAACCCTCCCAGTCGACCAGGTACTGGAGTCCACGGCCCCTCCTTCTAGACCGGAGGAGGTGACAGACCGTGTAGGCGGGGAACCGGTCAATTAGATGGGCGGGGGGGGGGGGGGGACTGGGGAGTGAAACTTAGATGACAACACGGGTTTGATGCTTGAAACATGAAAAGTGGGGTGAACATGAAAGGACTCAGGTAGAGAAAGGTGAACAGAAACCGGATTAATGACTTTGGAAATGGGGAAGGAACCAATAAAAGGGGGGGGGGGGGGCAAATTGCGAGACTGTAACTTAAGGGGAAGGTTTTTGGTGGAGAGCCAGATGTCTTGACCCACCTTATAGTCTGGTTGGGGGGTCCTGTGGCGGTCGGTCAGCTTTTTTAATGTAGACCGCAGTAGTTTTCAACAAGGCCCGTCTGGCTCTCCTCCAAACTCTCTGGCACCTGAGGGCCACCAAATGAGCTGAGGGGACAACAGCCTCTCGTTCCCAGGCAGACAATACAGGGGGTTGGAAACCAAAAACAACATAGAAAGGAGAAAGCCCAGTAGCAGAGGAGGGGAGTGAGTTTATAGCATGTTCTACCCATGGTAGGGAGGAGGACCATTTCTCTGGGTCCTGCTGACAGAGGTGCTTCAGCTTACCCTCCACCTCCTGGTTGGCCCTCTCTGTCTGGCTGTCAGTTTCAGGGTGAAAACCAGAGGAGAGGCTGATGGAGATGCCTAATAGACTGCAGAACTCACTCCAAAAGAGGGAGACAAAGTAGGGTCCTCTGTCAGACACAATATTAAGTGGAAGCACGTTAAGCCTAAAAACTTCACGGGCCATGATGAGGGCTAACTCCTTAGAGGAAGGTAATTTCTTCAGGGGTACTAAATGAGTCATTTTAGAAAAACGGTCTACAACAGTGAGAATGACCATGTAACCATCAGAACTAGGGAGATTGGTAACAAAGTCCATGCCTATGTGCGACCAAGGGCGAGAGGGACAAGGAAGGGGGCGAAGGAGTCCAGAAGGGGGACGTCTGGAGAACGTGGACTGGGAACAGTCAGAACAAGAACGTACATAGGCATGGACATCTTTGGACAAGGTCTTCCACCAGAATTGGGCCTAGACCAAAGCAAGGGTCTTGGTTAGGCCCGGGTGACAATACAGATGAGAGCTGTGACAAAAATCCAACACTTTCTTAATCATGTCAGGAGGAACATATAGACAATCCTCAGGACAGTCTGGAAGAGGAGGACGTGACTGGCTGGAGTGTCTCAGGTCAGACTCCAACTGGGTAATGGCCAGGCGAGCAATCTCAGGGAGAATAAAATCCTCCTCAGCCACAGGAGGTGAGGAGTCCACCTCAGTAATGCGAAATAATGCATCTGGGTTAATATTTTTCTCTCCCGGGCAATAAGACAGGGTGAATATGCTGGTGAAGATTCTCAGTCATCCAGGACATGATGAATTCAAAAAGCGTTCAATACAAAAACAACTGGACTTCACTACACCAATAAACTGAAAAAGGAGAACAACAGACGTAAAAACATTGTCATCCCTTATGTTGCTGGAGTATCAGAGAAATTCAGAAGGATCTTCAACAAACAAAAGATCCCAGTACATTTCAAACCCAGAAGGACTCTCAGACAGAGGCTGGTCCACCCTAAAGACAAAACACCCATACACAAACAGAGTGGTGTAGTGTATGCGGTCCAGTGCAGCGAGGACTGTCCAGACCTCTACATTGGAGAAACTAAACAGCCTCTTCACAGAGGCATGGATCAACACAGGAGAGCCACCTCCTCTGGACAAAATTCAGCTGTTCACCTCCACCTCACAGATAAGGGACACTCTTTTGAGGACCAAAATGTCCACATTTTGGACCGAGAACACAGATGGTTTGAGAGGGGGGTGAAGGAAGCAATTTATGTAAAAAGAGAAAAGCCGTCTCTTAACAGAGGAGGAGGCCTCAGATTTCCACTTTCAAAAACCTGTAATGCAACTTTAAAACAGATTCCCAGCCGGTTTTCACACCTGATGGAAACAGAGGGGTCTCGTCTGTGAATAAGAGGAACAAAAGAATCTTACTGTTAAGGTTGTTTAGGTGTGAATTGCCAATCTACATATGTGTGGGTGTCTTATCTCACTCAGCCTTATAACCTGAATCTCTCACTCTCTGCTCTTTGAATTGAGAAAGCTCCTCGGATGAGGAGCGAAACGTCTTCTGTTACAAATAAAGTCCAGTTGTTTTTGTATTGAACGCTTTTTGAAGACAGGGTGAAGTTGAATCTGGAAAAAAAGAGCGCCCACCTGGCCTGACGAGGGTTTAAGCGGCGAGCAAACCTGAGATACTCCAGGTTTTTGTGGTTCGTCCATACTTGGAAAGGGAACCTGGAGCCCTCCTCCAGGGCGAGCTTAACTGCTAACAGCTCCCGATCCCCCACATCATAGTTCTGCTCTGCCGAGGAGAGGCTCTTAGAAAAAAAGGCACAGGGGTGAAGGCACCCCTCCTGGCTTCGCTGACTCAGGATGGCCCCCACACCAGTTCTAGAGGCGTCCACCTCCATGACAAAAGGTTCCTCTGGATTGGGGGCCATGAGAACAAGAGCAAAAGAAAACAAGGTTTTTAACTTGACCAATGCTTTGTTAGCAACACGTGACCAAACAAAACATCTCTTTACAGAAGTTAGTGCATGTAGAGGTTTGGCTATTTGGCTGTACCCTTTGATGAATTATCTGTAGAAGTTTGCAAACCCCAGGAACTGTTGGAGCTGCTTACGGTCCCTGGGGGTCGGCCAGTCCACAGCGGCTGCAACCTTATTACGGTCCATCTCAATCTTGTCGGGTGAGATGATGAAACCAAGGAAAGAGGCGGTGGAAACATGAAATTCACATTTCTCAGCTTTTACGTACAGGCCGTTCTGGAGGAGCCAG